GTTGCAAAAGTGGGAAAGATCGTACTGGCATGGCTGTTACAATAGAGCAGGGACGGTTGTTGCGGGAAACTTGTGGTCTCAATGCAGCACAGGTAGGATTACCTTTTTTCAAATGAGTTTTTCATTCAAGTTTTCATTGCAATGCTCGACTACGAGTAGCAGGGCCTTCGAATCGTTTGTCTTACTAGCCACGACAGCCTGCAATTTCGTGAATATGAATTTCTCAAATTTGTCACAGAAAATGGTGTCACCCATCTTTTGCAATTTTCCAACAAAGTGATTGTTCTTTCTGAAAAAGAAAAGAATCTGTTGTCAAGACAGGGTTACCCACCTGCACGATTCTGCTCATTTCAAGTATATATCACATAGTCTCAGCAATCTCTTGTGTTTTCAGCTACAAGAAGTGATTGCATCGCTAAGAAGAGATGGTGCGCGAAGAGAAAATTGTCGGAAAAATGTAGGAAAAGCGATGTACTCGTTCAGTCCTTTTCAGATGCATTTTCTTCCCAAGGTGCGTCTTTTTTCGTAGATAATAGTCAGGTCAGGTCTTCTCATGTACTATTTCATAGGCTTTTCGACCACCAAGCGGAACATACGCTCAAGGAGTTGCCAGCTGACCAGGACATATCGCGCATAACTTCCTCAAATTATTCGCAACTATCAGTTTTTTCAGGCGGGGTGTTTTTTCTTCTCATAGCATAACCATCACTAGTATTACGGTTAATCGCATCTCTAAATATATCCATGATAATATATATTACTTTCTTCTATGTCTGCCCGTTGCATCTAAATGTGATTTGCTTGTGATAAACTTTTTCTCTCTTGTGATAAGTGTTCTTCATTGATCCGAAGACAGAGGCTTGCAGGAAAACCTATATGGATAAGGTTCATAAATCGAATCTAGGAATATCACACTTCTTTATTCTTTGCATGGTACAGCATATGCGGTGCGCATATAGCAACCGCAAAAACGTTGCCATGGATACTCGGCGGTGATTTTGAGCAAGCCGATTACTCTGGCGGCTCTTGGTCAGAGGTATGTCTGGAGAAAAGGTGAATGGCGATGAACTCTGGCAGGACAAAGATATACGATTCGATGTGGATCACAGGTGGGAAAGCGATCTCAAGATTTTTAGTGGTCCAAAATTCATTCTATCTCAGAATGCTGCGTCTTGTACCAGGTGAAATACAAATAGATCGAATGGACATGATTGAGGATACCAAAGGGAACAATGGAGATCGAGGTAAGTAATGGTTGTTATAAGTGCAAATGACTTGCTTTTCACTCACAAAAATCAAAAAATTCTTCAAAGTTTGCGAAAATTCCAGTTGGTGTTGCAAAAAAA